ATCTCATGCAACATCTTTGGTTCCCTGGCTTGGCTGGTGTCGTGGGACCTGCAGGCTGAACAACTTGAAACATGGTCTCCGATTAGACTTGTCATCACGGGCCAGAACATCAGTTCGCGGGCTCTACTACTACTACTACTACTACTACTACTACTACTACTACTACTACTACTACTGTAGCTGACGCCCAAGTGGTCTCTACGAGCGTATTCCAGCATTCATTTACGAGGCAGCGGTGGGATCAAAATGCGCGTTCCTTAACACTGCAACCCGTCATACATCGTTACTTCGTCCCGAAAGTTGTAGAACGACGTTAATTCCTTCGAAGTTTATTTTTTGTATCTGGTCATCCTTTTAAAACCACTTCGCGCAACGCCACGCTGATCGCGCCTGACTCCGTACTAAGCGTTATCCCTTTAAGTCGATCTTCCGTTAACGCAAAATGTTGTACGAGATTGAAGGCCTCGAATACTTCCTGTTGGTGTTCGAATATCGGAAGATGAGCTCTCGATAGAGCATCCGCGATGAACATATGTCTCCCTGAAGTGTATACCAAGTCCATGTCGTATTTTCGGAGCAGGATAAACGTCCGTTGAAGACGTCGACGGACACTGTGTAACGGTTTACTAGCTCTTGACACATATACACTGTAGTCTTCCTTCCCAATTTGTAGTCGTTGATTCGCTCCATTGCGTAGACGATGACAAGCATTTCCTTTTCGATCTGTGCATAACGCTGTCTCGCCACTATGAGCGCCCGACTGCGGAAGCCCAAGGGTTTACCATCCCGTAGGAGAACGGCATCAATTCCGATTTGGCTGCTGTCACCCTGCACCTTCAAGGGTAGAGTCGGATCATAGTAACCAAGTACTGGTGCACAGCTAATAAGACTCTTGATGGTTCTAAAGGCTGACTTCTGCTCTTCTCTCCAACTACACTTTACACCTTTGTCTCTGGATGAGTGTCATAATTTCAGAAAGTCTTGGTGAGAACCGGCTCAAATAATTCGCCATGCCATTTAAACAACTAGCAGCCATTGACCTCCTTAAGTTGTCGGATCTCCTGCACTGCCTTGAGCTTATTGGGATCGACCTTTATTCCTTCGGATGTCAGAACCCGTCTGTGGAAATGAACTTCTGGTTCCCGGAGTTCAAATTTCTCGCGTTTGAGCTTTATGTACTTTTCCACGCATCGCTGCAAAATATGGTGCAGATTGGCGTCATGTTCCCGTTCGGTTGAGCCGTAAACCAGTACATCGTCTACTACACACTTTACACCGCCTAGGTCCTCAATAGCTTGCAGTAACCGATTTGGAAATATTTCGCTCGAAACCTTCAAGCCAAACGGTAAACGTAGCCAGCTGAAATGTCCGGTGTGGCAAACGTAGTAAAGAAACTGAATTCCTCATCTAGGACCACGTGCTAGAACGCCGATGAGAGATCAACCTTGGTGAAGTACTTCGCTTTAGCCAACCGCGGCAGGACATCCAATGTCGGCAGTGTATAGTGTCCTCTAAGCAAAGCTTCATTCAACGGCTAAGGGTCTATGCACAGACGCAAATCGCTATTCTTTTTCGTAACAATCAAAACTTGGCTATCCCAGTCTGTCGGCTCGTCTACGTTAGTGCTTACGCCCAATTGGGTCAAGTTACTTAATAGGGCGGCGAACTTATCACGTAATGCAAACGGAACTCTTCTAGCTGACAGCGCTATCGATCGTCTCGACGGATCTACTGACAAATGAACGGAATCTTCAAATCTGCCAAAACCTCAGTTAAACACGTACGCATACTGTTCACTAACATCTGTCTTTGCTTCACATACATGCACAAAAAGTTCATGGTTAGAATGAAAAAAGCCAAAACATTGCATGAAATCAATGCCGAAAATCGGCGTGAGCTCTTCCTCCACGACCCCGAAATCCAACTGACGTGAAGAACCTTCTTTGGGATTGATCATTTCGGTTGCGGCCAAACCGTTCCACATGCGCAGGACTACCTGTTCAGGTCGCACAGGAATTCTCGGGCACCGCTTCGTTGGAATTATCTTAACGTGGCACCCGAGTTCAACTGTAAACACACTATCTCGTCATCAACCAATAAACCTACATAGACGCACTTCTTCGGCTCTGTCCGCGACACGTTGCTGATTGAATGTTCAGAGTCGGAGGGCGTTGTGTCAAGATTGAGTGCGTTCACCTTCGAAGACTGACAATATCGAGCGAAGTGATTCCGTCTGCCGCATCTGGCGCAAATTTGGCCCAAAGCCGGACACTAATCGCGATCTTTCGGGTGTCGCGCGGCCCAGAATCTGCAAGTTCATGGTTCATGGACATGTCGAGAAACCAACAAATGATTCGGTTTACTGTGTGCTCCTCGCATATACATGAAATATGTGCTCCCATTTTTGTACTTAATTATGCGACAGCAGGAAATTGCTGTAATATTATTGGATCAATCTCTTCTGGAGAACTGCTTCTTGCATCCACCAGGAATATACGGTTTATTCATTTATTTCTGTTTTTACATTCAATGCAGCGGCTTACCAAACTTTTGGGAAGCTATCTCTTAGTGGAGATGGAATTTACTTACTGAACCGCACCTTGCAGTTCTGATAAACGTGGGCAACCTATGGCTTACGTAATGTGTCCACATGCCAATGCTGAATCTATTGTGCTATGCATTATAGTATTCCCGTACACTCTGCTACCAGGGTCAGCTTTTGGAGAACAGTTAGGTTGGATCCTAAGTACGAAGGATATAGCCATCCCCTTTTTACCAACCATGGCAGAATCTGAAGGGCAAAGTTTGGGAGACTCCGAAACGTCAAGTAACCAAAATGCTCAACAGTGAACTTATTACGCTTGACCGGATTGTAACTGACCCTATACACACACATCGTTACCTATAGTAGACTTGCATAATAACGGCTTGAAAGGCCACTGTATCAAACCGGTTGGTCAATATTAACACTCTAGGCATTTATCACGCCTAGAAAGTTCTCCCTCCCCGGTTGTCTCTGCACCCTAACTGACCCCATTGAATGACTGTGTCAACAATGCGTCCATTTGTAAACAACGCTTCACATAAATCACATGCAAAACAGAAAACCGAAATACGCAAACTCGAATTCGCTCTACTATAAAAACCAAATCAATAGTCCCGGGGGTGGTTGCATAAAACTGTGTGCTCGATTCCATCGGACAAAATCTTGTTCGGCACTTTCACGTTTGCTTTGTTTTGATCCAGCCGTTCATCCGGTGATACGTGTAAATTGTTTGCTTTATTAGCCGAAACCTATCAAGGGTTGTAAGCCATTTAGCAGGTCGCTAGATTCAGTGCTTAAATGTTTAGGCATCGAAGAATATTAACGGACAACATGCGATCCTGCAATCTGACACCAGGTAAACGTAGCAACAACCTACTGATGAGGGTGTGAACCCCAGTCTATGTATTCTATCCAGAAGCAAATAAATGACTCTACACAGAAAGTACATCATAGATAAAGACAGGAGTATAAGTTGCAAAGAATAGTTAAATTCCTGAGATTACTGTATCGCATTGGTTTTACAATTATCCATTGTTCCATGTTTGGCAAATGTTTTATCAGCCTCTCGCACTAGAAACGCCTGGATTTCTTTTCAGTAAAACCATCTTCATGGATACTATCACTATTAGCTGTCAGAATCTGCCATACCCAAGCAGCTCAAACGAGGCAATTGGAAAAGCATCTTTGACGTCTGATTGCGTTCGGCCCTTGAGGAATTGCAACAACATGAGGTGGAAAAGGATGGACGTATGGAGATAGTTGTTCTTTCACGTTCGTAATCTTTTGACACGCGCGTGTTTGAATTGTTTAGCCGGAGATGTGGCTTGCTACTTCTCGCCTCCGGGCTAGTCCACCTATGCTTTAAGTGTCCATAGATTTTCAGGGGGATAAGCTTTATACACCCATGTAGCGTATTTTTCAGCAAGTTACACTAAGGTGGGATAGTATCGGTTGAACAAAAATACGAATTGGCGTGGAAAGTGAAAAGTATATTTTCAACCAACTAGGGGGTCTCTGTATCGATGCATGATTGTTTTTGGGTGAATAACAGGCGAGACAGATGACATAAAATGGAGTTTCAGCACGACGAGGTACACGAACATCAGACTTTAAATTCCTACCGCCTAGAATTAATGGCGAGAACATTGTGTTGGGGGTGATATGGGTAGTTTAGAATCCTGGAGGCAAACTTGAAGCATGCATCAAAATGCTTCTAAAACGATTGAATGAACGAGAGAATTTTTTCCTAGTCCAGGGCATCGGGAATTACCTTTTAGTGAACGCACAAGAGCAATATCATCATTTGGAAGTGGTTCGTGGCAAAACGAGGACAGCATAACCAATGTAATGTTATTCGCTTGTTTGTTAACGCAGACAAGCGCCTTGTAGAAAATATATGTGGAACTTTATCAAATAGTTTTATTCCAAACTATTACATCTCAGTGTACTTTTACAGCTTCTACCCCCGCGTGTGCTGCTTCCCAATTTCCAGTTCTTACTAGGCACTTAAAAGATATTGGAAAATTTGAACGAGTATGTAAAGAGGAAAACTGTTTGAAGTTATCCGTTTTGAGGCATTGGTGTAGTATGTAAGCAGATAAGCCCCAAGAGGTGTATACTTACATAAGCTCTAGTGAGAATGACGGATGAAAAGTATGAACATCACAGTCCTGGTAAATTAAGGGTAAAACGGGACAAACACGGTAGCCTCCTCAACCTCGTAATGTTTTGCTATCAAAACTACCCTTAGGACGCTTTTATCCGGTATCCCTTGTTTATCGGGACACCTCCGGGATCGTTTGGTGCGGTAGACGAACCGTAACGGTTGTGATGACATTCCCTATTTATGCGCACATTTGGTGTATTTGCTTACATCAGTTAGTGTGGTTGTTCCTCAAACCAAATACAGTGACGTATGGGTCAGAAATAACTTACTGTTCTCTATGCAACCTAGATCAACCAGTGGCACTGAAAGACCTGCGGGTTCGAAGCCGTCCAAACATTATGCAAGAAACTGCATCTGATGTAGACGGAGAACGTTATGGTCATGCTAATTCCATCGATAAGCCCCTGAAAATGACCAAACGAGCCAACCTCATAAAGGAGCTTGTGGACAGTGAGTTACGGTTCTCAACTGACATGAAGCGATTGAATGAGGCAATTCGGTCAGTTTCAATCCCGGTGAGTATCGAGCAAATTTGATTATCCTTCCTGCTTATTAACGAGATAACTCGATTGGGAGTGAGCATCCCTCAAGTACACTTGCCAGCAACAGAAGCTTATTTCTAATTTGTTTCTCGATTAGCGCGTTTACTGAATTTTTGACAGGCTGTTTTTGCTTGGTATACTGCATACAGAATATTTCAAATGCAAAGCTAGTAGAGATGTATCTCTGTTGCTCCATAGTAGTCTGTTCGGGTGTGTGCGCAGTCACGTCAGTGATTTCCGAGTGTCTGTTATATATGCTATCCGAGTGCGGTGCGCTTCCTGTCCGCTTTAGGTCCGGTACCACTAGCTTGGAGCGGTGGCCGCGAGTGCTGCTTGGTGTGCGCGAGTGAACCAGTGGCCTCGGAATGGGAATTGACTCACATGCGATCTCCGATGCGTCACAATGAAGTCAATTCTATAAAGTGCAGATATGAAAGGGTGTCCAGCCCTAATCGTCTGCATCGGTCTTCTTACGGTGTACCCCGTAAACTGGGGATGAGCCTGGCATCCACGTATTGAACACATTCCAGTCTTTGCAACTTGCCACGGGTGATCGGACAATAGGCAGGTGATCCGTACTTGAGCATCGGTCTTACGATCAAAGAGAAGAGGCGTGTGGCGGTCTCTTCAGACCAAATGCAGAACCTGCGTTTGAGTGCCCGAAGCGTGCGAAATCCGTTTCCATATAGCTTGTTCGTGTTGTCTACAGATTCCAAATCACAGCGTTCGAGTACGTCGAGATCCATCACGGAAGGTGTGGTATTCAGCGGCTGGTCATGCAGTATGTACGTACCCCCATCAACCCCCTTCCCCAGCCTCATATATAACGATGTGACTGAGTTGATCGGCAGATCAATATCTGCAGACCACCTGGAATGAAGGTTGAGATGATGTTGTAGTACGTCAGAGTCGTTGGGAGCTTCAAATATTCTACAAATCCTCAAATTGTCTGCGAATGTGGCACAAAGCTATTGAACAAGCTGGGGCATTCCGTTGATCTGAATCAGGAATAAAATGGACCCCGATACAGAACCTTTGGGCACCTCATTGGTGGAGGGACACCAGTCCGTTAGACGGTCATCCACCTGTACCCTTTATTTCCGCCCAATAAGGAAGTCACTGATCCACTTGTGCAGTGAGTCACCAAGCCGTACATTCTCGGCTTGTTGAGGAAAACCTAATGGTTCACTATGTCAAATGCTTCACCGAAATAAAGGTGAATCACATTCACCGAATTCCCCGGTTCACTGCTTGCAACAATTCATGCCACCTCAAGAGCAAGTTGGTGATAAAGGAGCGGACCTTCATCAACTCGTGCTGTACATTTGTCAGGAGGCATTTCGAATCCAGCAACGGTAACAGATATCTTTTCATGATCTCCTTGAGTACTGCGGTTCAAACAGAAGTCAAACAAACCGTCCGGTAATTACCCACATTGCTTGAGTCACCGTCATTCAGAACCGGCCTAACCATCGAACATTTCCAAGCAATCAGCGAGTGGAGCCTATCTAGACCGACAGGCTTCATGTTTCCAAGACTGGCAAGTAGATTGCGCGCATCTTCCACATTGCTCCGTTATAAAAGAGGGTGTGTAATGATTGTGCGCTCGTTTCGTACCCCTCAAGTATCGGAAAGCTGGACCAGTGAAGCCACATTGGTTCGATAGAGAGTATGGTCAATTGGCTCGACGACGACGCGTAGTATGGAATAAACTCATCGTGTCTGACTCTGCCGACGATTATGAGGCGTACAAAAACTGCAGAATCTATGCAATATCGAAAAAACGTCGGCAGTTCGAAGAGGACCTTGTAACCTGAACGAAGATGGTTCCCAAGAATATTTTTGTTTGCGTGAAGTGGCTCCTTAGGCCCTCTGTATAGTTGGAAACAGATAACATATCATATGATAACGTGACAAAAAGAAATCAACAAGTTGGAAGCGGGAGGTCACATGCAAGCGAAGTAAACGATGGCTACAGGTTGAGGGGGAGTCATTAACTCCAAGGGTTTTAAGCGTAACAAACAGTTACTTCTGGACGCAGAATCTTGGACAATGCTTTTATGGCCACTGCCTCGGCAAACTTGAGGACACTGGCGTTTGTGTTACGATAGATGACACTAAATACCGAGTTGGGACCCACCTGTTGACTCGTTTCCATCAGGTGTTTCGTAATCGGAGAGGCAGGTATGTTGTTCGCCGACACAGGTGCTGTTTGGGGCTGCCTTGTCAAGGTAACTACTTGTTTCACCTCTGTTTTGGTGAATGTGCTCGAGAAGTTTGAGTAAAAGTGCCTTTTCAACTTGTTGGAGTCGAAAGATCTCCTAACGGCGAAGCAGCACGATTTCATGAAAGACTGCTCATGCATCAACCTACTGTTAACGCAGCAGGATTGATTGCAAGCATTAAATCGTGAGAACTCAGTGGATGTTATCTACATTGAGTTCAATAAAGCTTCCGATAAAGTAAACCATGAGAACCTGCTGCACAAGCTGAGGATGTGTGGTGTTACTGGCGCACTGCACCTGTGCAGTATTTGCAGTTGACCTGATGTTTCGGAGGAAGATTGATTTTCCAAGCGACTGTAACGTCCTTCACCTGGACCTCGACCACCTATCCCAGTAGTCTTCTGTTATGAGCCTGGGGTGCGGCAATAATGGGTTTGAGTACAATCTGGCCGGTTACCCGCTGCATCCCACCAGTTCCGTAAATGATCTAGGCATACGCTCAAGCTGTGATCTGAAGTCCGTCGACAACACGAATAGACTGTACGCAAACGGACTATGTCTGCTTTGGACACTTAGACTCAGCTTCCGCACTTGGCCTAAAGAGATTGGCACTCGCTTGTTCTCTTCCATGATAAGACCAGTGCTTGAGTACGTGTCACTCACCTATTGTCTGATCATGATAGCTGAGATGCGAAGACTTGAACGGAGACCGCGTGTAGCTACCCGGATCATCCCCAGTTTACGAGGTATTTCGTAGGAGGACCGATGTACGAGACTAGGGTTTTATACTGTCATATCGTCGGCTTCGAGTTGATCTCATTATGACGCACCGAATACTGTACCTGGACTATTTCCCTATGTTGAAGCCGCTGCTGCAAGTTCGCGCACTAAGCAGCACACGCGGACACCAGCGTAAACTAGTAGTACTGAATTTAAAGCACATCGCTCTCCCATTATGCTTCGAGCATCTAATGGTGTAATATTGGAGCAAATTGCCGGAGACGCTAGTCGAGGCGAACTTCATGTAGAAATTTAAGAGCTTTCCTGAGGCGCACTTTGAGGACAATATGTATAGGGAACGTATCGCATAAGGATATGATGTAGTGCAATTGCAGTATGCTGCCACCGCGCAAGAAAGAGCGACCTGATTCCTTGCTGGTGCTCGATCTACCTACGATGGAGCAGCACAGATTTTATTTTCTTGCTGTCTAATCTCACCATTAAGTACTCGAAATCCGGACTCTCGAGTTCCCTATTGGCTGCACACGTGGATCTTGTTATAGGCTCATGCTCATAAATACGGAAGCATAGTGCGTCGCGAACGCGGACACACGTTCAAAGCTTGAAATCAGAGGCTGTCTGTCAGAGCCCTCTAACACTGCTACGTTGCTTGCTGCTGTCAGGCTCCGCTTCACATAAGCGAAAATGCTCTTGGGGACCAGTTTTGCTGTGAGTGCTAGTTTCTCTTCGAACTATCGACGCTTGTGTATTTTCATGCTGTTGCATAGATTTCTCTGCCTTTCGTGAGCCTCATAATTCTCGGCAGACCCATACAAGAGTACTTTATGCCACAGTACCCATCACCATCTACCCAACTGGCCATGCGCTTTGTAGCGACAATGTGGCTTCATTAGTCCAACTTTCCAATACTCGATGGGTACGAATCAAGCCCACGGCTATTTGACACCCTTTGGTAACAGACAAACTAGCATCAACAGATGAATCCGGCAGTAGCGACCAGTCCACTTGACAAGCTACACACTGCGTGATTGACCCACTGCGCATGAACTTTCCGGTCTTCGTTTAACCTCGTAGTAGCACCAGCGATTCGTAGGCGGTGTTATGTTAGCGGCAGCCTGTTATGGCTTAGCTGACTAGGTAGACACATCGATGAAAACGATATGCTGTGCATTTAGTTTCAGACGAGATCGAGGAAACTGAGCAGAGTGCAACCGTTATTCTTCCTCGTTAAGAAAACCAGTACCATCATATAAGCGCATTCGTAGGGAAGTTTCAGAATAATGTATCAGATATCGATGTTTTTGGAAGCCAACAGTACATCATTTTGAAAGTCTGCAGTCTCCGTTTAGTCCTGTTGTTTGCTAGCCTTGTCACCGTCAGAATATTACAGAAACGGAGGCGTACAACGTTTTCAAATGTAAAAATAAGTTTATTCCGGTTATAGTTTAAGCCAGTATTTGCTCTTCGATCAGCACTTGCTTATCTGTCAAATGGTTTAGTTGGTAACACCAAAAGACTGCTAAAGAAGTTTCTGTCGAAGATTAGCAATGAAGTGTCTTTCGTGCGAGACAGAATACCTGATTGCAGTGTTCAATGGTATGGCCGTTTTCACTTTTAAGTTCAGTGGTCATCTGTACCAAGGATGTTAACTCCTGGATGTACTAGTGCCCATATTGCGGACTATTTATTCTCTCTTACTTTTGATTTACAGGTGAATTAGTTTGCTATCGATTGCAGCAGATCGCAACTTAGACGCGATGAGAGTTCCTATCCTCTGACTTGAACCATATATTGCGCCAACCAATGTGAGCAATCTTCGCCCACTAAGCTTTGCTGTCCGGTTGCATCAATCCTGTCTTTTGTTGGCTGATGCGAGTCCACGATGAATGTCACCCCTGTCTCAGATTTGCCACCACCTGGATTTGCCAATGCTACTTAACTCATACAAGCTGCCAAGTGAATGAGTAGATTCGTTACTCCTAACCATGAATCTCCTCGCATTTGGCTCACGTAGCCCTATGTTTTCCAGGCTGCGATGTGCATTGCAATCGCGGTGCGCCTGAATACTACGTATGTGTGAGGTAATATCAAGAAATGGGGTGACAGAACGCTTCAGATACGATTACAGTGAGATTTGTTTGAGCCGTAGAACAAGCCTCCGCTTCACTGCTGTAAAGCAATTTTGGATGGTTTTGGGTTTTGCTACATGTCACATAGCTTGCGTAGACGGTCCACGAGTCTTGTACCTTCAGCAGTGTGCGTCTCAACTCGTAGTTGAGACATCAGTAATCGTTACAACAACGTGGCCAGTTCACGTAGGCTGTATGACCTCCTTCACAAGAGACCGGTTGATTACTTGCGAACGATTTTTCCTACGCTTGAACGTTATGATCCGTTCCCTTCTCCCATAGGGGTTAGCAGTCATACCAAGACAAACTGCTGGTTTCCAGTGGCCATTCATTTTTGTCAACTAACAAGAAGCAGCTGAGTCCACCGTTCCGGATACGGCCCCAGGGATCGAATTGAACGGTATTCCCTTCAAGATGAATCGTGTTCCTGACAGGGAATTTGTTGCAATGCATCCACATAACGCATATGTCACTTTGAAGGTTTCAGATCGTTTACACCAGAGGTCAGCAAACTACGGCCCACGACGTCAGTTCATCTGGCCCGCCGACTGTACCCGAATTCGCCTGATAAATCGTAGGGAACAGGTGACAATGGTGCAACTTACACTTGACACTGCATGTCACATTGTCAGTGACCTTACACTGTTGGAACAGTAGCGTGAACCATCTCAGGATTGTTAAATTTGAGAATGTATAATCGTTCAATAAGTGACCCCACATAGCTGGAAAATTGATGTGTGATAACGCGTGAAATCCACTCATTCTTGTAACCTACGGTGTTTCTGTTTACCTCACTTCTTTATGTCACAAGATTGGGATTGGTCCGCTCACTTGAAGCACAAGTCATATAAAAAGCCACTAGTTTAATTTGGCCGTAATTGAACGAATTGCAAGTTGATAGCGCGGAATCGCGCTGGAAGCGTAAATTGTTGAGATTTATACATCGTAGCATTCTTAAACGTATGTTCCACCAACGGCCCCCACTCCTTTATTTTGCACACGTTTCGATTGAATTTTTATTATGTTTTTTCTAGTTCAGATCCCATTTGTTTCGGCCTTTATTAAAGTTATTGAGAAGAGAAAAGCGAACACCGAGGGTCGCGTTTTCGTCTTTTTTCCCCTAGTTTTCGTTCTGACTCCCAAGTTTTATGAGTAATGATTATGAAACGCACGCTAACCATTTTAATATTTATCCGGTCCGTGTTTGTCATGTTCCCAGTAATTCTGCCCGCGCCGGTCAATTGTTATAGCTATCCGACCCGCCGTGAAAACAAGTTTGGTTATCCCTGGTCTACACTATCAGGCTGCCATTAGGCTAGGATTTGCTCGTGAGCAAATCTCGTAGCTTACTCCGTGAATAGAAACTGGTCAGAGGAGGAGGATGAATCCATTGGGCTGAGAGCACGAAGCCAAACATCGAGACTCCGAGAAAGTACCGTCGGCTAGGCTGATTCAACCCACAACATAAAGCTTTCGAAGCCGCTTTGTGCATGCAAGACGGGTGAATAATCAACCGTGACACACACGAGCAAGTGTTGGCACATCGAGTATACATAAGTTTGAAATAAATACCTAGTAGCGCCGTGTGCCGTGAGATAGTAGACGGATGATTAAGTACTTACTGGACTACAGTGTGGTGTGTATCTAGCTCAGTAGATTTTACAACAGGGCGCTGTTAAGGGAAGGCACCAAATCCACGCGATTGTAAATAACCTGTTCAGTGGAGTAGGTAGTCTGCACCGCAATATGTTCAAAGCATCTCCTATAAATGATAAAGCCTTCATGTTTATTCCGAGTAAATTTATTGTAACGGTTAATCCTCAGGTAGTCGCCGAGGAAATTTATACCAGAAAAATCGGTTATGCAGGTCCTTTATTTGTCGATTCCATGCAAAAATTTTGACATGTATAGTGAGATGTAAGATGAAAAAGGAATGAACTTGGTATTCCTTTTTGTACACAAGCTGTCAACCGACGATCGAGCGGCACTCTTCGGAAATCTACCGCAAATAGTCAAGATCTCACAGGAATTACACGCGTGCTGGAATAAAGAAATACTCAAGTGCACACCAAATAGAATTGATCAAGCGCTCATCGGTGAGTTTTTCCTAAAATTTGAGCAATCTCTGAAACTGGGTTCATGTAACGATGTGAAAAACCCACATAGCTGAACACTAAAAATGGAGCTGTACTATATACTCATGTCTTATCCGGGCTGATTACGTAAGGCAGGTTTATTTTACATTGTCCAAAAATATATTATTAAAAAATATACTGTTCGAAAGCATTCTGTTTGCTACCAGATGCGATCACCTAACGTTTGATTGAGAGCAATAGTTGTATACCACAATGATAGCCGGCGTGGAACCTGCTGACACTTTCGGATTCACAACCGGCACCTTCAGTAACATTCTAGTAACCCAGATTGCATCGACTCATCAGTTTAATGTTCTTAGTAAATGGCACTGTACTCTTGTTTAGACAAGATACATTTATTTTAACCTTGTAGAAATACCCCAAGCCTATGAATTAGACTAACTCGCTCCTCGAATGTGCCTGCAGAAATTTGCAACTCAACCGTGGCCAGTTTGTGTTTGCTTCCATACATTTTTGCTAGTCAAGATGGCTGTGTGTGTATGATATCCTATACACATTCAACAAGAGTCAGTTATATTGGGTTCATGCAGACTGATCAAACCGTGGTTATTTTTAGTGGTTTCTTCCACAGGTGTCTCCAAACTACGCAATCACTCATGATTTCGAGTTTTAAACGGAGAAAGTTTGTTGACAAATCATGAGTGATGTAGTTGAGGCTCTTTATAACAACACGTGAAATGCTGGCGATTGGTAACTAGGTTCCAGATTATGTTGCTGTACTGCCTTCCGCTATTGTGCAGTATATTTATTACATCATTTTATCCACCATTTCCATAGCTACGATCACTTATCCCTTCAGGGAACGGATACGTGATGTGTTTCATGTGTATGCCTCAAAATACGATGTCTACACAACGCAAAAAGTGAGTCCTCCAAAAGTTGCATCATTAGCATGTACCTCGGATATTTCAGAAGACGTTTTATTTTACTACACTCTTCAGAGCATATCACTTAGTTACACCCCTAGTGGTTTATTTGAGTCACATTATTAATAAACCAACACTGTTATAGACGGCAAACCTTTACTAGCTGCAGCATTTTCGTATCACTCGACTAATGTATGATTGGTAAAATCCAAGCCTTGCACCGTCTCCAATTCTGACAACTGTTCAGTTAGACCGCCAATGCTCTGAAGATAAGTTACGCAGGTCGGCGGCTAGTCGAAACTGAACGACAGCAGACAGAAATTGGCAAGGAAAATTTCGTAAAGTAGCTTTTAGATTGGATGGGGATAAAAGAGCCCAAGAATGAGATAAAGCCAGGTGAACTTAAAAGTGTGTATCGGTGCTCGATTCATGTCCTGAGAAGGCTTTTGTGTTTGTTCAAACAATGGGAACAAGCAAACCGCTTCATTTCCCTAGGCACATAATGAAACTAAACCTTTTTCAAAACAAAACTCGATGAAACGGCGAAATCCCCACCTGTAATGAAGTCGGCTGGACAGGTACCAGGTGCGGACAAGAAATCCGGGCTGTAAAGCAATCAAACTCAAGTTAAACGAATTATAGGTACATCACTTCCTGTATGACGACGATGCTCCGATGAGCGAAATGCGAGAACAAAAGAGAACGGACAGGATCGCGCGCACGCAGTAGCACGACAGAATTAAAGTCAACTGGTCTGAGTGTACATAAACAACCGGTGCTTAAGCAAACAAAGGGAAACGAATGTCCAAGTTAATAAATCCGCGGCCTCCAATACAGAAATATATAGTAGGGGGAGGACTAACTAAGCGGTTGCGCATCGGCAACTTTAAGCAGCTCAGTTTAATTCCAATTGTGTTACACGTCCGGTTGTCAAATTTGGAACAAACTCAAAGTGACCGGTTTAAATAGCATTTAATATTAAATTAAATTCAACATCGGTGAAACGTAGTTGTTGGAACAATCGTCAGTGCCACCAAAAACAGCAAAGTGGCTTTGGTGAAAGGCGGTAAATATTAGTGCACCGTCTTGTGAGGTTGACCGATCACCGCCACTGTGAACGGTAACCGCGTGCAATTTTATATGGTGTTCTTTGAGTAAAAGCCCGGTGACAGATGACAAGCATTTAATTAACAATTCCCAGCAATCGTATTCCGTACAATGTACGTATAGTGTAGGTAGTATGGCCATGTGATATATATATGTATATATATATATATATATCAACATGGTACATAAGGGCAAAAACCAACTCTTAACGTTCCCAGTAGGATGGCAGAGATAGAGCTTGTAAAATAGACGAAAATCCAGTCATTTTGACTGCACCGTCCGTAATGCGTATTAAATAATACTATGCCAAGTAGTATTTGTGAAACCGGTATATGATGCATTTGCTTTTACGCTTTCGTGGAAAACCCAACTTGATGGTTACCAACTGATGTTAGTCAACAGGTCCTGTTAATCAGCTGCTTTTATACCCGTAATTCCATTTTCAGTAACGCAGCCATAACTTGAGAGCATAAAACCAGACAGGGTACTTGGTTTCCACAAGATTATCTTCCCTTAATTTGGTTTCAGAATCCCACGCTAATCAGTTTTGCGCAGCAAGTGGTGGAGAAGCTGAGATTCCATAACCCTTTGCTGGCCGACTTGAACACGGAACTCATCAAACCTGTGCAACGGATTGTAAAATACAAGCAGTTGTTTGAACAGCTCAAAGACGTAAGTTGTTTCCTTTTCTTTTAATCCCTCATATGAATTTTAAATAGTACCTACCACTGTTCACGCCATTTCAACACCCGGCAATCGTAGATAAGTATAGCTCCCTAGCGAGAAAACAATAGTTATGCTAGTAGCATCACTGCTGCTTTTATTTACTTATGAGTAGTGGGATTTGATCTCAATTCGGATACAGCTGTTGCGTCCACTAGTCATGGAGTCGGAACCCGTGAGGGGTCCCAGGAATGTGCACTATTGACATGACCCAGAAGGTCACAACTGCCGACTGGTGCTCCTCTTGATGTGCGAGAACATGCTTAAGTTAGAGGTGACCCCGATGAACTATATCCAAATTACTGTTGAGTTTGCATACCCCACCAACTGACGATAAGGATCGAACTTTGCCACGTGCCTGGATGACTATTATCCTGTCAGCTTGCTCTCTAATACTAGCAAGCTAAATACTCCTCACGTCCCTGGAACTTACAACAGGTCCCGTGAACTGGTCAACGTGGATCAACAGATTGATATGATTCGTGCTGTCCAGATTTGTTCTGCTTGCCGGATTACGGCCCGGGAAGCTTGCGTGATATGCTCACAATTACTACGTGTTATAATTTATAAGTGACCCCACTTTCGTAATGTGTCTAAACCTGGGATGTCCAAAGTCCGGTCATCGGGCCAAATGCTGCCCGCGTTAACATTTTAACTAGTGCGTGGCCTCATTATGAAATAATACATACAAACTTGGATTATTTTCATACAGACGATATTATATTGATTACAAACATTAAGGATGTTATGAGTACAAAAACCAGTGGCGTCAGATGCTGGCAAAAATCTATGATGTATCCTTAAGTATTAACTAGGAAAAGTCAACCTTGTGCCTTTACCAAAGGTGTAGTAACTAAATAAAAAAATAAAGATCTCAGGGTCTCATTTTCAGACTACACATTGAAAACTTGAAATAACCATTTGTAATATGTGTAATCTTTGTTATTATCCTAATGTCCGACTGAATATGGCCCGAGATATTTTTATCTCACAAAATGTAGCCCTCCTTGAGATAATTTTGGACACCCCTTATCTAAATGGATAAGCATTTGTCTGGGACCACACATACCGGACCCATAGCTGAATAAAACGTATGCCGTCATCGGATATTTTGAGGCTGTAGTTCGTTGATCTGCAACTAGGTAACTCTCACGGATATCCAAGGCGATGAACAAATGGGTTAGCTACAGAGAAAAATAATTTGCAGATCCCAAATAATATTGAACAGCCTGTGTGTTCGGGATCAGTCGAACACGTGCGCAGGTCACTTGTTCGATACTTTGGCAGTTTTGGTCCAAAAGCAAAACCTAGCGTTGCTAATAAAAGAAGTCAGCTGCCAGTTAGCCAAACAGTTGATTCGTGTATCCTTTTGCCGTACTTAAATATAACTTGTGGATTTGGTATAGAAGAATAGAATGACCCAACAACCAATTGATCTGCACGTAAAAACGACAAATGCCGTAACATTATGTACTATTCAACATAGAAAGTGCGATACGTGTTATTCCGATGATGTGTGTTGCAGTTTACATTGGATGAGATAGACCAGGTGATGGTGTGTGTGTGCGTGTGTGAAGTGACTGGCACACAATTGTTCGCAACAATGCATGACAGAATCGATTGGGATCATGCTCATTAAGATTATCGTTTGGCATGCTGGTGTTCAAGGATTGCAACACAGTGGTACTGTTAAGGAGTGTTAACCCCCGTGTTCTACTAATGTTTACCGGTAGCTTGTTCCACGCGAATTCGTATATGTAAAGGAAAAAGCTAAAGCAAACGTTGGTACATGCATCCAGTAAGGTGCTCGAATAAGATCTGCTCTGTGGTGGGTAGTAGGTGGCTCTACTTAGGCCAAGTGAACGATCGATGTTCAAGTAGGGCATACTTAAGATTAGGAACAAGGTCACACGGTTTCTTCATTTCATTCCATGCAAACAATGAGTATCAAACCGGGAACGTTTACAACGATTGCGATAGCTGGGATGAGAAGAAACCACGATTTATTTAGAGAACAAAACTATACTTTCTTCATTTCCCCTCAACCCTTGGGCATCGGCGAACAGTGTTCTGACAGCTGCTGGGTATTGGATTAATAAAATATCCCATACTTGAGAAAGCAGCTCTAACCGGTTTTTAGTGAAACAGTTTATAAAACTTGTCCATTCCGTTTTTCACAAAATCGGAATTAGAAACGTTGCAGAATGCATCATTAACGGGTGGCTGACAGCCAGATTAGAGCAGTCAATTCATATAGTCGGATCCACTTTGTGGCTTGAAGTACACTTCCTAATAAAATAAATACTTTCTAATTGACCAAGATTCTACGTTCACTGTCCTGTGGGAAGATTGAATTTCGGTTACTCTTTGAGTACTTTGTAGCAGAAAGGTACACAAAAATCATACATGGATTGGGCACTACACTAATTTTCACAGCGCAGTGAGTTCACGACACAAGAAGAGTTTAATCCCATCTCTTGCATTCAGGGAGCGCAGTATTTACACTCCGGATACCGTCAACGAAGAGCTACAGAGAATCAGCGACACCCTTAGGAAAAAGGGTTACCCCGATAAGTTTATCCTGTAGCATATGAAAGAACGAAAGCGAAAGCCAAGTAGAAGCATCACTCCCAAGAAAGAGCTCATCAGACATTTACCATTTAAGGGCGATACTGCAACTGATGTCTTGGCTCGAGGTCTAAAAGATGCTCTTGAGAAAACCTACTTCGCAGTCTGCTTAAAAATGGTTAACCGGAACAAGCCATTGCTTGCAAAACCCTTGAAAGATGGTCAGCCCTCGCTGACCCGTTTAATGGTCGTTTATCAGTACCCGTGCTCCTGTGGTGCACGATACTTGGGTCGCAAAAAGAGATGCTTATCTCAATGGGTGCACGAGCACATGCCGTCGTGGTTTTTCAAAGGCAAGATGAGGTCTTTAAACAGCTCAATTATGGCGCACCTTCTTGATTGTGGCCATACTGTATCTGAGAATGACTTTAAGCTCATTTACTAACTACCTGAACGCTTCTCATAAGGGTTCCAAAAGCAGATCTTGTGAGTACTACGCGGTAACTCGAGTTTTTGGCGTGCCACACTGATCCAGCTTTGTTGCTGAAATCTTGTGGAAAGCGGTGTTTGAATAAACGAAGCGAAATTTGACTTTTGTCAGATTTCCTCTGATCCAAGGTACATAGGTCGATTAAAGTGGTACTGGACATAGCGTCTTCTTGACAAGTACTGGTAATTTTTGCAGTAGCTTCTCTTTTTGAACCCATTTTATACCCTGTTTTGCCATTTGTGGTCATTTTGCGGTTGTATACGTGTTTTTAAACTCTGCTCCGTTTTCCACTTTAACCATGGTCGTCTCGCTAAAAACCGAGACGGATGAAATCCTTGGGTCCTTCTTTGATGAGTCAAATGCAGCTTGCGGCAATTCTACCTTTTCAAGACCCGTTACGGATTCATCTGGTAGTATGCATTGTGATGTTTGTTTCCGCCGTTTCCGAAAAATTGTACCGGCTTCCGAGCGAACCAGTACAAAATGTTATCATTCAGTGAAAACTTTTAGATGAACTGAATGCAGCACTAAGAAAGCGAAGCGCCCGGCTATCACCTGTGCTGAATTTAAAGCACTGGAATCCATGTTCACGGTTGTTGAGAAGGCGTTCGCGAGCTTACCTGTGTTGCCTCACTCAACAGTAAAGTGTATTTGATTATGAAATCCTTGAATATTGTGAACGAAGACGTTGTAGCGGACTGTCTTCCTGCTGACCGTCTATTCGTTGATGGGCCGTTCATCCTACCGGACACTCCAGTTCAAGCGGAGATAACTGACTCAGATGCCTCGGACGGCATTGACGACGCCCCCAAATGGATGGCGAGTCACGAGCTTCTGGACTAGAAAAGAATAAGCGAAAGAGGGCAAGGAAAGCGCGCAAACCCTCCGCCCCAAACCGAGAGGTAAGAAAACGCTAAAGATGCAAGCGCCTGAGCTAGAAACACCACCTGGTGCTGAAATTTCCTCAGCTTCATCTAAGGCTGTGCAGGCAGGGGGTGAAAACACCAGATGTCCCCATCGCGTGCCAATCAAACTACGGAGGTGCCTACTCCCAACATCTCACTCTGTCTTCCGGGTGTACAGGTTGGGGAGGCAGTCATCGAGGTTGGGACAGGAGCTTCTTCCCCTGTAAAACGAAAGAAAAATCGGTACATAACTGCCAGTATTCTTCAGGCCAGTTTGCAAAGCGTCCGGAATAATGAGTCAAATAAGCTGGAGCATAACACCTACGCTACAGTTGCTTCAGCGTCGTCTGACAACGTGCGCCCAGTCTCATCGCCTGCGGCTAAGCCGTCTGCTGTTCATGTAAATTCAAAAACTCGTGAGGTAGATACACCCCGTCGAGGTGAATCTTTCATGGATAGCAGCGTGATATTCCGTAACGCAGTGGAATCCACTGCCGCATTTCCTGCTAAACGTAGGTTGGACGACCTACAGTGGTTTAAAATATGTGTAACGAAGCTTCTTCCGCCTGAGTTTCCCGGTGTTCCTGTCAGGAAACTGACTAGATTAGGTAACCTCCCAGTTAACGCCCCAAACCTTCGACCGCGTTTACTTCGTGTGGTCCTATCCACCCCGGAGGAATGCAACGCGTTGTTGCGCTTTGCTTTCAAACTGAAGCGTACTAATGTTAGCGTTCAGCTAGACCTCCCGCTAGCGGATAGGCTAAATATAACAGAGGCAATCAAGGACCCCAAAACCAGGCGAGTGGCTGGTGAACAAGGTCTCCGGTTGGTGCGTTTTCGGGTAGTCAGTCGACAGTCCTTTTCCGCCCTACCAGTGCCAGTTCTGGTAGCGCAGACCCAGGGCTGGACATTATGAATATCGTCAGATAGTGCTAAATAATGTGAGCAGCTTAAGTAATAATATGTGCAAAATAGGTCTGCCTGTAGACGAGTTTCATCTCGATATACTCACATTCACTGAAACTTGGCTGTCTCAGGACATCACGGACGATGAATTACGTCTGTCTGGCTACGCACCATTTAGATGTGATCGCCTCGTTGGTCGACAAGGCGGGGGAGTTGCGCTTTCCCTTAGCTGTAGACTTGACATTGGGCGTACCTACAAATTTCAGTCGGCAGATAAAAGGGTCGAAGCTCTGGCGGTAGTGATTAGCACTTCCTCGGCTCAACTTACATTTGTAATCGTGCATAGAAGCCCTGGAAGAGCGACCAAAGAGGTGCTTGACTTTATTCGCTCCAAATCAGCAAACAGATGTTTGGTACTGGGGGACTTTAATCTATCGGAAATTTGCTGGGCAGATCTTTCTTGCAACTCGGCGGAAGGTACTTTCGGTGCAGACCATCTTGAGCTTGCGCTACAAGTACCGTTGCATCAGTTCGTGGACCTCCATACTAGGTACATGGATGCTCCGGTACCGCCAATTTTGGATATAGTTTTTGCCAAGTCACTAGACTTCCCATGTGATATCACTTACAGCTCTCCCTTAGGTTCCAGTGATCATGTCTGTTTATCACGCAACTGTGCTCTGACCAGACGTCAGCAGAGCGTCGCTGAGCCATACCCAAATCTTTGGCGTCCCAACTATCAGGCAATGCGTATCAAGTCTTCTAGGTTGCATTGCAAAATCTCGGTGGCCGATACGGTTCAGACAGCCTGGGATAAATTTAAGTCTTTTCTCACGGATGTGTCTAATCCCTACATGCCGCTTGAGAAGGGAAAAGAGGCACGAGCACGGCTTCCTGGATAGATACCACTGGATAGTACCTGCTTCAGAAGCGTTCTAGGTGCTGGAGGACCTACCGTGCGGCTCCATCAACTAACACCTATGATAGGTACCGCAAAGCTAGAAATAGAAGTAAAATAACACTTGAGGAAAGCTCGGATGTTGTACGAAAATGGATTGGCTGATGGAGCTTCGTAAAATCCGAAGAAGTTCTTTGTTTATAGTAAGAGGTGCTGCGGTTCAAATTCGTTAATTCCAACTTCGATGCGGACCGTTGGAACATATGCGTATGCGGACTCGGACAATGCTCGTGTACTTGGTGAGAAGTACGCAGGAGCATTTGCACTTGAGGCCGCGTTGACTAGCGTTGAACTTGTCCCCAGAGTACCTGAGGGTTCTTATGTAGCTGAAATTGCTGTGGTGGAAACGCAAGTTCTTAGGCCACTGCAAGAACTGAATCCTTTTAAAGCAGCTGGACTTGATTCAATTCACCCGAAGCTTCTGCATGAATTGGCGGTGGTACCTAGACTGCTGACGATGGTGTTTCGGAAGTCACTTGACAGCCGCACATTACCTCCTAAATGGAAGGAGGCTGTCATCTGTCCTATCTTCAAAAATGGCGACAGGAGTCTGTCAGCCAATTATAAGTCGGTCAGCCTGTCTAGTGTGGTGGTCAAACTGCTAGAAAAACTGGTGACAGATTCGTTGGAAGGTCACCTGAATAGATTTACTCTACTCATTAGTGTATAACACGGATTCCGGAAGGGTTTTCGTGTCTGACGAATTTGTTGGTTGCTCGTGAAGCTTGAACCAAGGTAGTGGACAATGGCCACGTAGTGAATGTGATTTTCGTAGACTTCTCGAAAGCATTTGATAAGGTACCCCACTTGAGGCTATCACAAAGGCTGAGCCCCTACGGCGTATCTGGCCGCGCCCTTCACTGAGTGTCTGGCGTCTTGCAGGGGAGAGAGCAGTGTGTATGTGTGGGTCGCAGCTTATCCTTTAGGCAAGCGGTCCTTCGCACTGTCTTTGGACCGATACTGTTCTGCATCTACTTAAACGATCTCGTTGGGCAACTTGTGGTACCATTGCTATTGTTTACTGGCAACCTTAAGCTATGGAATGTTGTAAATGTCCCTTTGGGTTCTAAAGCCACACAGCATGCCGTGGACAGACTCTGGGACTGGTCTACTTTGTGGCCATTGCCCATTAACCCGGCTGTGTTCCGTCCTTTGTATAGGAGTAACTTTCCCACTTTCGAAATCCGTGCTCAGTGGGGTCGAACTCGCCCTTGTCTCCAACCAGGTAGACTTAGGCGTCTTCCATTCTTCATCTTTGCATTCTGGTGACAACTAGAAGAAGGTCGCAAGTAGGGGTTTCAGAATGTTGTGTTTAATACGCCGTTCTTTCGGGGTCTTAACTGCCGACATAGTTGTGAAGCTGTTCTCAGCTTTCGTTCGGCTTAGTCTGAAATACTATGCCCAGGCTTGCCCGCCCTACCTCGTTAGGGAAAACATGGAGCTCGAAAGGGTTTTGAAAATAGGTACCAAAGTGATCGATGCGTTACGGGGGCAAACGTAACCCGAGCGTCTACTTAGCTTGAGTATGTATTCAATTCACTACAGGCGGCTTCGAGGAGACCTAATCCTTACTTACCGCATTTTAACGGAAGTTTGGACCAGACTTCAGATGGCTATTTAACCCGGCTAGGTTGCCTTGTCTTCGCGGTCATCCTATGATGCTACACAAGGCGCATTCTGACCGGATCAGGGCGGAAACTCGGTTATCGCGTAGAGTTATCGAGCGTTGGAACTCGCACCCAGAAAGTGTAGTCAGCGAACTTACGGTTAAAGATTCCGTGCGTCAGTTAGACGCTCTTGTGTGGCAGCACGAAACCTTTCCCTGCTCCTGACCATATCCATATTCCAACTGTAGGTTCATATTCTGTTATTCACCTCACTCGTTTGTGTTATCCTTCATTTAAATGACTTTCCTTCTTCTTTATCTTCCATTTTCTTTCTACGTCTTCCTTACTTCACGTGAGCTACACAGCGGGGACCGCTAGTGCAGGGAACGTGGGCAGTATTTGGTTGACCAGGGTGTGGCTCAAGTGTTTCGTTTTAGATCCATCAAGACCTCGTAGCACTTTATCAGCTCCTGCCTCAACGATCCGCTCAAGAAGGAAGACTCAACGGATTTTCCTATCGTTCCAATTCTACCTGAACCTGAATCTATTGCCGAAGCTATTTATATCCACCATCTGAAGCCAGAATTGCATGTACAGAAACGATTCATACGGCCGATAATACTACCATGGTCAACTGACATTGTTACTTAGTTACCCCACTGTGGCCTTATCTGTTTACTTTGGACTACTGAGATTTGTGTATTAATGTTTCTTCAGTGCACTTCCCTTGTGATCTGTAGCCGCCTTTAGCCATCGATTTTGGCGGCTCAAACACTTTAGAAATCAATCCCAACCCGAGGTGACGCTTCCGCCACACAATCAGCGTTTTGTAAACGTTTGGGTCTGATGAGAGCTTACTTTGTAATTACCCTGGTTGTGGAAGGAGTTATTTATTGTGGCTAACATCATCAACCATATGCATCAGCTCTGTTCACCAACCGTTCACCCATCTTCACACTTATTCCTGAAGGTTGTGTGGTGCCCAGTGTTCCTGCATCTATCCACACTGCACATCCATGCGTGAGTTCCAAGGGTACTATTTCGTTTGGAGCCTTGGCACGGTATGCCGACGGACCTTCACCGTCTTATTTTCCTGGTACTTCTATACTACCAGCTTTTGGCGCAGTAGCACCCGCTTTTGGCCCATCACAAAGTGATCGATGGCTTTGACTGAGTTCATAGATAAAGTCTAGGTTTTCTCGTAGCAAACGTGATCCAGAAACATTACCGGCATAATTACATAACTAGGCAACGAAACGCCACATGGTCAAGATTTGGTCCTTTTATAGACATGTTACTTGTATGACCATGCACCGATTCGTCCAGTACAATTTACCGTATTTGTATACCATTGAATCCACATTAAGATGGTGAACTTCCTGTTTCCTGACAGCATACGGAAGAATCACACGCGGATTACAATGTCACATTTCTCATATACGAAACATTTTGCGAACTGTTACGCGCAGCTAACGAAGACAAAAGATGGAACGAGATTCGTGAGTTTTTAACTTACTTTTTCCGTGAATCCGGTCGGAGTGCGCAAAACATTGCGTAGTGGACCAATATCCTCTGCGAGGGGCCAGTTGCAGCTGACATTTGTAAATATTTATAGAACAGTACGCACAGTTACTTCGCAGTGTCACCGGATGCTGCGTATGGATAGCGGTTTAAAAAATAACTTAGATCAGTAGCCATTGTAAACAGAAGACACCGTGTTTCGGATATTGGTAACAAGCTTTAGATGCATCTTCGTTGCCGCAGTAACGGACCGGTATTAAGCTAACTTACGCATGTTTTCCCATGCAAGACATCGCATCTGCATGGCAATAACTTGCGGCTAGCCATTTCAATCTGTAGTGTTCCACCAGTTTGTAGCTAAGTGAAGGATAAGAGAGTGCATCTTACAAAGTGGCCGATATACAAACGCGTTTAACGGATTTTTGGTATGTAACCAGAAATTAGTTGCGTTAATTTCGTACCTAAATGTCAAGATAACTTAAGTTTTGTTTAATGTATGATTTTTTAGGTTTTACTATTTAAGGGTTTGGTTGCTGTCTTCCGCCACAAGTTCTTAATATTACCTAGCAGAGGGTCGTGTGTAGGCTTACCAGGCTATACGCACACCTATGTTTCACCCTGGAATCCGTTAACTCATAGTAAACTTCCTTTCCTGGCATTTACATCTAATGCAAATGTGTCATTCATTGTTCATATACCCAAGAACACACGTGTCTTTTTTATGGATACATTTAGCCATCTCTCAGGCAGCACTTTCATCAATTAACATAAAATGTTGTTTTATAGCAAGAGGCGCTACCAAATTTTCATCCTATGTACTTATTTGAATTTCCACACGACATACTGGTGGAAGGTTCCGATCAGATAACGAATAGCGCTGAAGATGCCTTCGGATGACAATACTAATTGATTATTGTAAATTATAGAGCTGCCTGAAAGATAATAACAGCTGAATGTTTAGGCAAACAGGATCTTAGTGCGATTACTCACAGTCATGTGATAACTGAAACAAATCGGCGAACAGTTGACTCTTGTGTACTTGTATGACGGCACTAACGGAGAAATCGAACGCTGATCCGTAAACGGAGATCCGACAACCGACGGAAAGCACACACACAACACTCCGAAGCGGCACAGCGTCACCGAAACCAGAATACGAACGAAATTCAAGGAGTTTCCATCCGGATGGATGAGTTAAAACAACTACAATAAATGAAGGAAAATAGAATAGGAAGTTCCAATGAACGAAGTAAAGATTTATAAACTCTACAAAATCACCAACCAATCCGTAGTTTACAATCGTATTCATAAGTCAACACATTAGTTTAGCACAAATTAGGTGCTCATGAGCCATTACTATGAGCAGGGTTTGTTCAATTGTCCTTCCATCGGTTGAGAAAATAAGCCAGGGTGACACAGAAATTTCGCTCAGGATGGTGATATGAAATAGGATTTATCCCAAAAGATTTAACATTTGGAACCTTACAGATGGCATCAACAATGTGGAGCATAATCACAACCCGTATTACGTAGAGACAGAATCGAATCTTCAGATGCTGGAACTCGATTTCTAAAGCCTTGATTGGCGGAGCAGTTTGGTAAAGATGAACTCATTGGGCTCAGCATTATGGTCCAGTGACCGGCTATTTATCACTTCCGTGCGGATGAGGATGTCTCATGAAACACCACCAACTTTGCTAGTTTTGATTGTCATTATGTGTCTTTCTAATTTTGATTTCGGGTGAATGCACTGTTGCATATCATCCGCGTAACGACCCCAAAAAGTTTACGACAGCTGTGTCCTTATTTAAGACCCACGTTAACTTTAGTTAAGTTCGCAGTTTAACATGTGGTCTGGGTTTGTCATCATGTTTATCGCACTGTTACCTTGCTCTATTAGAATGCAAAATTCCTAGCATATCGTGCGAGCTAGTTAAAAGTCTATGTATCATCCCAATTGTGTCGCATTAATACCTTATTTTCCAGTTTCGGAAGTGTTCGAAGAAAGTTCACGAGAACGACGCCTTAGATCCAGATCCAAATCCATACGACATCTGCTCGATGTTCTGCACATCAGCGAGAGGATACCAGTAAGCACATGCGCCGTGTTCTATATTCTTAACTGTACAGTGTTCCTCATGATAGTAAAAGCATTATTTGTCGAGTTCCCATGGGGGTTTTCTCACGTGGTTTCGGATCCCAGCCCCATCGTCATAATGCGCCTACTTCTCAGGGGCTGTGGCTAATCAGATTCATTTGGTTGTGTCTTGAGTACCAGAAGTCAGACAACCGCATAAGACCATATTGGCGAATCGAATACAATACAGGACCAATGTGTGAAGAAACAAAAAAACACCACCATCAGTCAAACCATAAATGTATACAAGCTCTATTGTATAGGATCTCGAAAGGCCGAGGGGTATGGGTATTGTGAAACAAGCAACTGGAACAAATGTTTCTAAAACGCAAAATACACTGGCCTGATTGCAGGAAGGGGTTGTTCTGATAGAACACACAGCTGCTTACGGCAACTTGTTCATTTTCTATGCGCACTTAACTTTGAACTGTGTGGGATTTTGTTTTCATGCGCAGGTTACAAGATTCGGCCCGACTCAGTGGCGCCACCTTGCTTTAGGTGTAGGTTTACCATGAACCCTAACATTATTAACGGGGTGAGGGAACACGTCACTGCGCCCCTGTCGCTAATAGCAGTAGAGGTTGGCATTGCAAGGTTCATTCCTGAGGATTGACACCTAAACAACGTGAGTGTATTGTCTGAAAGTGTGTACTTTCATTATCCGTTGTGGATTTCATGCACCCTGAGCAGCGGACCGAAGGTTGCTCCCATGTAAACTTACCTCGCTAATTATCAGTCCCATCGATTGCTTTACGATCATCGGGATTTGTTCTCATCTAATTCAGAGACATCTAAAACGGGTGCACATTTAAAGACACAACAATAAGATAGACCACAGCCACGATCGTGAGGTTGGGCTATGGTGCAACCGCTAGCACCGAGTATACATGCGTTTGAGTTGATTTCGCCGCTATGCTCCAATAATTCCCATGCAGATTGTCCATTGTTAACCGCTTTTAGTCTGATCCGAAACTTTCGCATGAAAAATGGAAGCTGGACTCGCTGTACACTGCAACTTCAAAGGTGCGCGATTGGCTGGAGAAACGATTTTACCAAATGCAAGTAAGAGACCATGTGATGTAACACTGCATTCGCTACAGCGTTTTTGCCAATATTGTTTTTGTACAAACATGCCAATGCAGAGATTGGTATTTCAAACTGAATTACGTGTACTGAAACTAACTACCTCACCAATTGACTTTAAAAACCGCCTCAAAAACATATGCAGACCGTTTGATCCACGATGGTATGCATTGGTATTCCTTGCTTGCCAGAAATCATGATGCATTCCGCTGTGACAATCCCAAAATAATATAGTTTATCAGGGCAAGTGTTGTACTATGCTGTAACCAGTACGCCAGAGCGTTTCATTGTACTGTTTGTAGGAAAGCTGGCACTAGCATAGATATCCATGGAGGTAAAACCTTAATGATTTACAAACAAGGTAAGCGATGTCTGCTCCGGTTCATACTGTGTTATTGTGTTTGACGCTTGGTGCGTGCGTGCGCACGCTTCGCTTTGTGCTCCGTATCCAGCGCTTCTAATAAAGGATAGTGCCAAGAAGCCTCTGGATATTAAGTACTTGTTTATAGACGGATTTGATACCCCGCAGTGCACATGATGTATTCCCTCGAATGAACCTGTCCGTTCACTAGTAAATACCTCAGTGGTATTATCGGGATGGTGACTGAGAGAAGCAAACTGGCCGATGGTGTCAGCGTGCCCATCGTCGTGGTAATAGTTATAAGACTGCTCGCCTGAGGACAGTAGTTGTCAGACCATTGGTTAAAATTACCTCATTCAACTTACAGTAGCTTCCCGAGCATATAGAAGTTTTTACGGGTTGGAAGTCATCCGATGAAGTTGTAAAACACTGTTCTCAGCCGGAAATCAAGAAAGAAGATGAATCATTAGTAAATAGTAGCAACCACTAATCAGTGCATCGTTATTGTCCGGTCTAAGCGATATATTCCCTTTCAGTCAAGGCTTTGGGAATGTGACCCAGTGACAAGTGCGACTTTAGGAGACCACAGTATGATAAAGAGTAGAGAGATTGATATACGAGATTCAACTTACGTTTGGTTGACAACTATTGTTGGATACGTGTAACGCTGGTGATGGCAGTTAGAGTGATGCTTGAAACCGGAATATTATTGAGGGTAGAGCAAAGAGTTTGATCGATATTGACAAGTTAGGACACTCGGCCGATAATGCAAAATACAATGAACTCAAGACAACTAGAAGCCTTAACCGCCCAATGATGCTCAAGCGAAAGTGGTAGCATCGTTCAAGTATGGAAGGTTCCTCATGGTTATCACCTTAGCATAGAACACTCACTGCCCACATGAACTACAGATTATGCCACACTACAGTGTCGTTCCGCAGGTAGATGAACGACAGACACAACAACAGGCGCTCACATCTAGCATAGTTGCGCCAAACATGGCAGTATCACAGTCACATACGATACGACCTCGTCGGACAAAGCAGAGGAAAACACGCTCACGTCACTGGAAATGACCTCATGATGGCTTCAAGATGATCTAGACTACGCAGAGCTCGCAAAGCAACTACAGCGTTTCATAGGATTCTTCTATTCGCATTAGCTTGCCTATAATGTTACTTGATATCCTTCGACAATGGTGAACAGCGTTCAGCTGATTGTTACGACTGCTGGTTGCGCCTAGGTCATACAAATTGACACTCAACGCGATTGTACCATCACTCAAATAACTTGGTACGCGTCCAGTGCGAGTATAATTTTTTTGGCGCCTGGTGAATAGCTTACACTCCAACTTGTCATATTTTCATCACCAAAAGATTGCTTTAGACCACTCCCAGTGGAAATTATAAGTCCCGGTGTGATAGGTCGAAGGTGGCTAGTGTTGCATCTCTGGTGAACTGCTTGCACACGCCCAGAGCCTAAGAGCTTTGTCACGAGTCGGAATAGAACTATAGCTGGCTCAACAGAAAGATGGTTTTTGAAGGAAATTAAAGGATAACATATAATAATAATAATAATAATAATAACAATAAGGGTCAGCGGAAACCGGTTCCGGATTTGCCTGTCACTATGGCCTCCATAGGACAGCTACAGGACGCCTGCACCTAAAAGGGGTTCCTGACTGGCTTTCGCTTCCCCACCCACATCAAACAAACCGTATCCAGTGGGAACCTGAAGAAATAAGACCGGGAGGCATTCAGATAGGAGCCACGGTTCATCAACGGAGCCGACGCACAATCCTTCAACATGCACAGTAGCAGTTTTCCTGTCTAACTACGTAGGGAATTATGCATACTAGGCATACACAAGCTGGTGGCTGGACCGTAGTGCGCTCCACATTGGATGCATAGAACACCTTATTGAGCTTACCACGGCCACGAGGGCCGTGCACCTTGTGCGTCCAGCAACGATTCACCGTCTCCTGTGGGCAAGTAATCGAGGTGGAGAGTGTTAAACAGGTAGGCACCTCGTCAGCCTTTAGATCAAGCGTAGCCACACCGCGGATATCAAACAACCAACACAGAATTTGCAGGAAAATAAACACCCAACATTGACACGGAATATGCAGCAGAATAACAGAACTGAACAAATTAAATAAAGAGAAATATTTTATCTCCAGGTTAAGAAGATATAGTTTGGGTGTAAGTCAGTGTAACTCAACTGCGGTGAAGGAGCATGATATACGCAACATAAACCTCAGCATAAGGCACAATAATAATAATAATACGTATCTTTCACGATTGTACGAAAAGCTGCCCCTTAATATGGGATGGATCATGAATACAGGATCATGCTCATGCACGAGTGAGATATGTATTCTGGGGCGCGTGACTTTAAAACATTTTGAATCACATAAGTTTTGCTGTTGCTGAGCGTTGTGTAACGTTTTTTCACACTAGTTAAACATTTCTTGGTCCGTCCTGGAAGAACTAATTTAGTGATTTACCGCATGGAAACATGGTCATTCTCGAGTTGTGGCCCAAGGAATTCCAAAGTTGAATACCGCATATTTCTTCATTTGTGTAAGACCTGAAAGTGGTTGGTAGGCTAATCCAAACGACAGCGTCTCTAAAGTGGAAGAAGTTGGAGAGAATAGCTGTCCTGGTTCCTAGCACAGTTACTTTCTCAGTCTTACTACGTAGTTTTTGTGTGAAGTTTTTTTGCAATTTTAGTCTGCATAGATTAGAGTGTCCTTTGGTTCATGCGATTGTGTATCAGTATCATATTATGTTTCAGTTGTCGCAACTAAAGGGGCTGGAGCTTAAGCTGCTGACAATGCTCCTGATAGCACAAAGTGGACGATTTACTGAACAAGCGCTTAGTGAATGATCTTTGCGGGTTTTGCATAGCTTTCCTGTCACCCATATTCAGTTCCCATAAATGGTGCTGCAGCATTCAAAGACAAGAAGTGCGCGCATATTTAAAAGCTCTACTCTGGCAAGGATTTTATGGCCTACATTAGCAGTAGATTGTTTGGCACGTGCTATTTGTTACTCAACTTGATCCGAGAGATTGAACTTTTAAGAATATCGTATGCGTTGAGCACAGTTAGACAGTTTCCCATAGATGCCTTCCCTGTTCAGTTTAATTAACTCTTGACCCTCTCAGACCTGAGACCCTGAACCCAACTGTCCCCAATACATGGGCGCCTGAGCATTAAAGAGAAAAAACCAGCATGATATATATAAAAACGTTAGTCCCTTGCAAACCAGTGGTTAGATTAAGGTGGAAGTTAGAAATTGTATAGAAAATAGGCACTAGGCAAAGTAGCGAAAATTTGGCACAGCCTTATAGCAGCGAAATCGAAAATTACAGAAATATTGGTACATCGGTCTGGTAAGGTTGAAGGATCAAACATCCGTATGAAAATGTATGATTTTCTAGCCGAGAACTTGATCCTCCATGAGTCGCACCATTTCTCAGGTGCACTGATAACTTCTTGAATCGGC